GTTTTCACTAGTTTACGTGATAGCTTTTAACAAGTGTTTGTGCAAGGTTTTCAGTATATTATATGGAAAAGTTTAATTTAATATGTATATATGCAAGTTAATTCTGATTTATGTCCCTGGGGGCACCTCATATTTCACAGCCACATTAGATACCAGGTGAAAGCTGGTCCAGTATAAATACCACTGCAATATAGGCTTACCTCATGCAAATTTAACATTGTAACCTCTAAATTTTTTTCTCACAACAATAGATTTGTCGTTTCGAAGAGGATACAGTTTCCAAAAAGTGTGAGGACGATGAAGTAGATGGAGGAAAACATTCCACGTCGAACACCTCCTTGAGACTCAATGCCATGGTACATGACGGCGTTCCAGTCCTCACCAGTCAGAATCTGAGACAGAAAGGATTCGGGTTGACACGAAGGGACATGGGCTTGGTCGTAAACCACATTCACAGCTCACCGCTTGCAGAATTAAATTACTTTACAGAGCAAAAGGTAATGAGCACAAACTAATTGCAGGATTAGGACAGAGCTCATCTGGGGCGGGAGAAGCTCAGAGCGCCTATTCTAAACTAATTAAAATAAAGAGCTTCTTTGGTCAAAAAGTAAATCTTTTCCTCATGTTTTTCTGAAGTCTTTGGAGCTGAAGGTATTTTACCTGGAACACAGTGAGGATGGCTGCTGGGAAGGTATCAAAGTTTGTTGTTGGTGTCTCGTCTTCAAAGTTAAACCTGGAGAATCAAAATCACATCATTAAAAAGTCCACAAAGAAAATAAGCATAGTTATAACTGTGTATGAGATTAACAAGGTCAAGATAAGTATTTAAATCAATAAAAGTAAAATCTTGTTAGCAAACATGCATGAGCTGTCTCAGCTGTTATGCTGGTTTTGTTTTAATTAAACGAACAAAACGCAACAAAACTTAAACATATCCACAAACAGTTCAATTTGTATAAGCTTCTCAGATACCAGAGGTGAGCAATAACTATATATATTGATTCACTTACATTTACTTAAGTAAAAACTAATCCTAAAAGTACTTTTTTCAATATTTTACTTAAGTAATGTTAGGAAATGTCAGTACTCTAAAGTTTCCAGCTACTTTACCCAGTGTGAAGAACTTGATCTATTCAGAGATCAGGTGAATAAATGGTAGACAGTAAAAGTTCTTTACCTTGCCCTACCATATACACACTGCTAAAAAAAGATTTTTAGACATTTATTGTTGAAAAATTTGATTTGGAAAAGTGTTTATTTGGAATGATTTTTTTTTTTTATGTTGTAATAATTTAATTTATTTGTATTTTTCTCTTATTTCAGTCTATAAAATACCAAAAGTTGTACATCTGACTGAAAATGGGCTACAAAAATTTAATAATCAAACAATTGCAAAGTACTCAAGTTAAATTTTTACAGATTAGTTTTTACTTTTACTTGAGTAATTTCTTGAAACATAACTTTTTACTTGAAAATAAAAATGG